AAGAGAGTTTCTTAAAATTACTTAAAGAATTCCCGCACCTACAAGTAGATGGAGGATTATTGCTGGGACCTCCTGATTTCTTCACGCACGGACATGAGGTAGATCCCCTGGATTGGACTGTCGTGGTTTACCCACGCAATCAGCATGGGGGGAGGCGGGTGATCCGTCCCAGTCCCTCTTTACTCCAGAGTCAGCGGGAGGGGGACTGGGCGAGACACCCATGCTGTGGGACGGTTTGCGCGGTCCAGACCACACTGATCCGTCCTATGACTGACCGGGAGCGATTTGTGCCAGCCCCCCAGTAAGAAGAAAAGACAAAGAAACAACTATGCAAGTTCGAAGTTATAAGTTGTTACCAGAGTTAAGTTTAATGGATCCTTTTGAGCCAGCCAAGTTAAGTTCGTTTACCAATAAAACAGATTCCGTTAGAAAAGAAGAACAGCTTCCTGTCCTTTTTCCCGTGCTGTCAACGGAACCGCCCCTGGCAGAACCAACACGTATTCACAGCAACTCAAGATCACAGCATGTTTGTTAGTCTTTTGAAGCGCTAAAAGACTTCTGTAGCTGCTGTTATGATGATATTGTTACTATACTGTTTTGTGGACAGTGGTATCCACATTGTTTGTATCACCCTGGGATATTCCTGCTTGATAGGCTCTCCAGTCAGCTATAGAGCACAAGTTTAGGGCTTGATGGGCTTCAGTTGATGAGAGTAGTAATAATATGCAGTTATTAAGGAGAATAATCTAACAGTCTGGTTTCCAGTGTGTTGTGTGCAGGTCAAATTCTTACACAAGCCATAGCTCTCATTCATGTGGTGAAGTAACAGGCAGATGAAGTGGTTCCTTCTGTGTACATAATGTTGTATGTTATATAATTGTTCTACTTATGCAAGGTGGAATTATGGAGATGCTTCTTGGTTGTTGTTGCTTTGTTTCTGTGTGCGTGTTTCGGGGAATGAGAAATTGCACCATTTAGGTCTGTGCCTATATGGGTGTCTGCCTGATATAAATAGGAGATGGAGATGTTGTGATGAGGATGCAGGTATGCATTCTTCCTTTCATCTTTCATCCCAGATAAGTGTCTAAAGATGTGTATTTAAGCATTTGTATATTGTGTTTTAAACAAACCTTGCAAAGTAGTTAAAAACTTTAAAACATAAAATTCAATATTGTTTAGTCGTTTAGTCGTGCCCGACTCTTCGTGACCCCATGGACCAGAGCACGCCAGGCTCAATTCAATGTGACAGTGGAAAAAGAACAAGAGACAAAAAGCTGAAGTGATTAGTTGAGACTAAAAAGCTTGGGTGAATAAAAATATATTCACATGCTACTGGAAGGAAATTGGGCAACACTAGACAAACCTCTTGGGATGAGAGCATTCCAGACAACGGAGAAGTGTCAGTCATGGATCCTCACCTGCCTTGCTTCAGACATTGTCAGAGGTCAGGGCCCATACAAAAGCCTCAGAGGATCTTAAGATCATGACAGGATTGTGGTTGTTTCTTGTACCTTAATCTTTCCAAGGTACTTAAACATCCCCTGGAAGTGAATATGGAAACATATGGCGGGATGGATTTTGCTAGAAATGTTGCTCTTAGATGTTACGTCCAGCAGTTCTTGGTTTTGTTAGGCTTGTCTCTTAAATAGAAGTCAGGACTCTGGTTTATGTTTACGGTTTACGGTTACAACTTATGCAGCTTTGGAATGAGTGTAACAACCCAGTTCATTTGTTAAAGAAGCACAGTCCATATGTGTACCTACCTTTCCATTTGGCTTAAAGAAGCACAGGCCATATGTGTACCTACCTTTCCATTTGGCCTTTGTTCAAAATACAGTAGATATGTTTCTGCTTCGCTGGGATGTGTATGTGTGATTTGAGTCCTCCGTCTGAGAATTGGGCGATAATTTAGTAAATGCACTAGGTTTAGCCAGTTGGGGTCAGATTAAAGCCAAAATGATATTACCTAATGGTTGCAGTCCTGCTCTGCTGATGTTGAGAGTCTATGTGTCTTCTTGTTGGTACAGGGGCTGTGGCAATTTCTCGGTATCCTCATAATTCCAGTGAAATAAAGGGTAGTTGTGTGGTCAAAACAAAATAAAATCCAGATCACTAAAAAATCATCATATGATAAACAAATTTTTGTGGATTAAAACACCACTTCATCAGGGTTGTACTAGTATGAAGAATTTAAAGTCCAAAACTTAAAATCTAAATGTATATGGCAAAACTGAGTTTGCCAGGGAAGTTATTCTTAGATGTTAAATCCTGTAGAGCTCTGCAGAATGGAGGTAGAGAAATTATCTCTCAACATCACCCTCTGAAACTCTCTATCCAGGTAGAAATCACTATATTCCCACTCTCATCCAGGACAGTCTGTCTAGAAAGGTGCAGTTGTCAGTAGTTTTGGATGTACCAGGAGAATTAGTAGGATTACATTGTCTTTGGTTTTTCTTTTGGTATCCATACTGTTTCAGATGGAACTGGATGGAAACTAGATTGGGAGGGATTCAGGAAATCATTCCTGACCTCCAGTCTAGCTCTATTAAACACACTTTTTAGGCTTAAGCATGTGTTTTAAATAGTCTTCCGACATGCAATATAGTCTTTGGGTTTTTTTAGATATTGGGAGAGTCATTTTAGATTAGAGTTTAACAATCATATTTTGCAGCATGCATTTTGTCACATTATACTAATGAATAGTAAGTCATTGCTAAATACAGAATTAAGACTGTAAGAGGTAACAGAAACCAAGATAAAATGTACTTTACTTTATTGATTGATTGCATAAAACCATTGGCCATTGCAATATATAAGATAAAAATGTTCTAGAGTGAAGTGTGGCTACTGATAAGGAGATTGAGGATCCTTGGAGAACAGGATCTTGCCTCAGTCAAAGAGAGGGAAGCATTATTTACTGGTAGCATCACAGATAAGTGATCTATGGCATTGCACCTTTGAGTGGTCATCTAAATAGGCTTATGAATTTTATTTTTACTGCCCCAAAATTTAAGCCTTTTCAGAGATCAAGAGACCACCCTTCATCTTGCAGCATTAAAATTTAAATCTAATTTTTAACTTGTACTTTATCCTTCTTTAGTTCTATATATTATAATTAGTTAGTTATGTGCTGTCAAGTCAGAACTGACATAGTGACCGTAATAGGGCTTTCAAGGTGTGAGATATTTAAGGAGTAGTTTTACCAGTTCTGCAGTTCCATAGCCTAGTGGGGATTTGAGCCCTGGTCTCCAGAGTCCTAGTCATTCACTCTGTGCACTACACTAAGTACTTTGTAGATTATCATAGGTAAATTTAAATATGTAGCTTCTACTTTTATTTTAAATAGCTATAAACATGGCTGACTTGAAACCTTTGCACAATTGAAGTTTCTAATAAAGGTTTTAAGACTTTTGCTGAAAGCAAGTTAGGAGGCATAGTGGAGAATCAAACTCCCGGCCTCTGGCTTTGCAGCCAGGTACCTAAGCCACTGAGCTATCCAGCCAAAAAATCTATAGAGTAGCTAACCATTATAATTGGACTACATACTACCAGCTAAAGCCTCACATGCTCATTCTCTTGTTCACTGTGGAGAATGACATATTGTCATATGTCTGCAGTGCTATACTTATATGAGCCAAAGAAGTCATATAAATGGATACAAATCTGATATTTAAAATTACGGCAAAGAACTAGTGTGAAGACATTTCAGTATCTTGGGATACTGAGGTTGCAAAGAATGACAGACAATTGGATATATTTATGTAAACAGAGATTATGATGTTCATCTCACTGCAGAAAGAAGTTTGCTGTCTACGAAAGGTTAAAGCATGCTTTCAGGTCATGTGAACAAAGCATGGCTTGATGTCAACTAGTTTCTGGCACCCATTTGAGAAAAGAAATAAATGCGTTGTCTGTTCCACATGCTCACTAGTAATCTATGTTCTTAAGCCTCATTGGGAATGGGATATGTTTAAAATGCAATTTCTTCAGTTGTATTTTGAACTTCAGCATTAGTATCTCTTCATTCCACTACTTGTATAAACCTGCAACTTTTCTGGCTTGCTTTTATGTATCTGATGTAGAGTCTAAACTGTAAATGTTTATGCCAAAATATATTGACTGGCCTTTAAGGTGCTACATGACTGTGTTATGAAAGTGCTAGATACATTCTCCAAGCAAAATTTGTAGACTAGAGATCTTTTTTATATGTGTGTTTTTGAAGATGATATTCTGTATGTTAATATATGTCATCAAAATCTTTAATGCAAGGGAGAATCATTATGAGGTATAGCAAGCCTCTTATCAGGAAAACTGCGCTTCCAAAAAGGTAAATGGGCATTGACAACCTGGTTTATAGGATAATAATTTCCTTGTGATAGGCCTAAAGAGGACAACATCCTTGACTTGCAGTTAGATTGTATTTCTTAGGTTGACATAGGTAGTGTCCGTTTCTGATGTTGGAATGGTGTTGATAGCTTGGTATCTTTTAAAATAGATTAAAGGTAAGAGGTCTTTTATTTAACTTTTTCAATTTAAAAAAACAACTAGTGGGAAGCCAGAATTTTATGAAATCAAAATAATGTGGAAAAAGTGGGTAGAATGGGTTTTCTTTTTTCCCTTCTGAGTGCTACCATGCCAAGTCACTCGGTCTACTGATCCAGAAAATGTAGTTCTTCCTGCAAAGGTCATGGCAAAAGACATGGATGGTGGCATCCACTAGCTTTTATGACTTTAAAGAGATACATTCATGAGAGAAAGGTCTCCTGAAGCCTGTTAATCATGAAAGCTAAATGGAACTTCAGTGTTTAGAGACACCATATCTATGAATGCCAGTTATAGGGGACTAAGAGAGAGATGTTATAACCATCATGATCATTTTGAAGAAGCACTCTGGAATCAAGAGGCTGATTTAGATGAACCGTTGATCTCATCTGGTAGGGATAGTTTTAAATTCCTAAAAAAGAATGTTCCCCATCTTCATCACCTGTCTTCCTTGGTAGGTATGTGAATACGCTTCTGAAGCTCATTCAGCCTGTATTGGAACTACAGGAACAGCTACGTCAAGCAGTCCAGAGCAGAGATATGGAGACATCTCATGGGATATGCCGTATTGCTGTGGCCCTTGGAGAGAATCATTCCCGGTGAGGAGCATGGTGACAGAACTTTGTAACTATCCATTAAGAAAAAGAACCTTGAGGGCTCTTTACCATTCACTGTGAATCAGAAAAAAAGTTTTTTTCCATTGCCCAAATGGGCTTCCTTGGAGCTAGGCATCCCACAGGTCTTCCAAATCCCATTTTAAGAGACCTCAGAGATTCACCGAGTTATCTGGATTATCTCTGTGTAGTCATGGGGAGACAATACAGACCTTCAAATGCTTGCTGAAGGTGGAAGTTGATAGAGATCTAAAATCCAAAACTACACAATCCATTTGATGTGGCATTTGTTATCCTGAATGTAATAAGCCTGCTATTCCCATGGCTCTGTCATGATAGAGCAGATTCCTGATGTTGGCCATCTTCTGCTTCCCACAGAGCCCTCTTGGAGCAGGTAGACCACTGGCAGAGCTTCCTGGCGCTGGTCAACATGATAATGTTCTGCACTGGGATCCCAGGACATTATCCTGTGAATGAGACAACAAGCTCACTTACCCTCACTTTCTGGTATACGCTACAGGTAAGTGCTAGCTATCTTCCTGAAGATGATTCTCTTAGTGGCATTCTCCTACCTTGATATGGCTTGCTCATTCCTCACTGCAATTTGGGTGCTTCTGCTAGCTGTTCTGCATAAACAGAAATGTATCATGTAATTGGTATTGGTATCAGCTCCGGACTGAATACAAAAGAATGTTCTGGGCCTCCAAGGAAGAACTGGACAGTCTGGGCTTATTAGACTGGAAATTCTTGGTCCTTCCATTCATACTTTAAAGCCCAGATTTTGTAACATGGCTGGACTATCATTATGCTGCTCTCTTGACTTCATTCATGTTGCATTGTTTGCACATGGTGCTGCAAACCTATACCAATTTGATTGTATTTCAGGAGGCAGCAGAGAAAATGACCAAGAGTGTCTAAGAACATTGCTTACCTAAGACTTTCCAGAGTGTTGCAGCAATTTGGTTTGCAGGTGAAATTCTAGCCTCTCAGAGAAAGATACTGAACACTTCAGTATGGCCCAAACTACTACAGAGGCCTGCCATTATTCTGTAGAGCCCTCTTCCTTCTGTTAAAGAACCTTTTTACTGTTGACTTTATCTTTTTGGTGGAAACAAAGTTCCTGCCAGTGTTCAGTGTAGAAATGATATTTTTCTCTTCTCCGTAGCAATCAGAGTTACAGGAATATCTCATCTTCTGTCAATGACCATGACGCAGAGAGCCATCTACAGAACATCTGCTTAGCTGATTTGTCTGACAAGCAGTCCTGCTCTTCCACCAGTTCTGAGTACAGATGCAGATCTGGACATGTTTGTAGTTCTGTATACAGTACTTGCTGCTACATTGGGATACATTTTAGAAGCAGTGGAGTCCAGCCTGACGTGCCCTCCCCCTCCATTCGCTGCTTGGAGCCCAGAAGCCTCATTAGCATGGCAGATTAGCCTGACACACTCCTGCACAGCCTAAGAGCAAGGCTAACTATTGAGCTGCTGCTTCTCTGGGTGCCAGCTTGAGATGGGATGAGATCATGCATTGTCTCAGTGTGTGACTGGTGCAGCAACCAATTTTACAGGAACATTGTTAAAATAAAGGCAGTGGAACTGAAACAGCACCTTGAAAAGCTAATAGGGAACAGAGAGTTTTTCTTCAGTCTCTACTCCACACCAACATACATCCTTGCAGTCCCCACTCTACCTGTGGCTCCCCAAAACGTTCAGCTTCCTAAGATGTTTACCTGCTTTGTGAAAGGCACATGGATGCAGCTATTAAGAGAATAATAGTTATCATCCTTGTGTATCTCCTTATCTTTTTTGTAGTACATGGGTGGAATAACATTAGACCTCCATATTTTTTCTCTATCTTCTACAAGCTCCTTTCTGTAGAAAGGGACTGTTGGAGTTGTAGCCCAAAAAAGCAATAATGAAAGGTTCTGCATCTCTGGCATAGCAGAAGTACCTCTGGGATAACTTTAATCCTTCAACCCCCACAACTACGAGCCCCCACAACAACTTGTAGGTATGGATTAGGAGTTTTAGCAAAACTATGGGTTGAACTCAATGGCCAAGACTGTCTTCCAGATCTATACGTATTTCTGCTTTTGTATTAACCTTGCCTGGATTGTCATCTTATCCATGCAAGGCCCTTGAGCAGCATGGAGATGCCCAATGTCCTCTGTGGATTAATTGTTGATACACAGTGGCAAGAAATTCTTGGTCTGTGTGTGTGGTAACAAAGTGATAGTGATTGAAAGTGGAAGTGATTTCACAGGCCTGTGACAGCTTCTGTTCTTGCTTACTTGGGGAAAGTACTGTAGACCAGTGGTTCTTAACATGGGCAATAATGCCCCCCAGGGGGCGATTTCATTTTTCAGGGGGGCGGTAAAACAAAAAGGGGCGGCGTGGGGGCACTGGAGCAGTAGGGGGGCGCTGGAGCAAGCCAAACCTGTGAAGATGGCTTGAAATAGGCAGGCATTGCTAAGATAGTGGACTAACAGAGTGCTGTGTTAATTTGCAGCTTTGCTTTATATTCTCATTTAAGGGTGATGGTACTGTGACCCATTTTGTTTAGGTTGAATTTTTAAAATTTGTTTTAAAATTTTTTGAATTTTATTGATTGTGCCCAGACTAAGACCAAAGTATTTAAATAAAACAAAACAAAATAAATTGTGTTGCTAATTGGAGCTAATGTAAATATCTGGTTCTTGCTTTGAGATTGCTGCAGCCTCTTGGCATTAGTTGGGAAGGTTTTGAGTCTGGGATACTGAGAGAGGAGTTCTAGGATAACCTTGTACTAAACCATTTGAGATTACATTAGATAATCAGACTAGAGTATTTGTGTGCGGTAGCTTGGCTTTAGATAGGGATTTCCAAATTCCTCTTATAGATATTTCAGTAACAAGAAGAGATCATTTATTTCTGACCCCAGTGAAATGCTTGGGGATTGACTGTGTTGTATCAACTGGAGACCTGGAGTTCTAGGCTAACTTTTCCAACATCCATTTGAGAAATGAACTTTTTCTCTGCAGGATGACATCCTCTCTTTTGATCCAGAAAAACAGGCCATGTACCAGCAGGTATATCGTCCAGTCTATTTCCAACTGGTGGATGTGCTTCTACACAAAGCTCAGTTTCCCTCTGATGAAGAGTACAACTGCTGGTCCTCGGATGAAAAGGAGCAGTTTCGGATATATCGGTACTAGACTTTTGCCAAACAGCACGCATTGTACATTGCTTGTGATATACAAAGGGGGGTTAATTCTGCATCACTGGAACTAAAGTTTATATAGATCTTGGGTTGGATAAAGGTTGTATCAAATGTTTCTGTTCAGCTGCCATTCCATAGACTGGAAGAGCTCTGTGATGTTTGTCTCTTTTGTTCCTTAGAGTGGACATCTCAGATACCTTGATGTATGTGTATGAAATGCTGGGAGCAGAGCTGCTGAGCAGCTTATATGACAAGCTGGGTCGCCTCTTGACCAACACAGAGCAGCCGTCCTCCTGGCAGGTGAGTGGTAATATCTGTCCTCGGAGGAAACCTGACTATTATGGAAACAGGTTTAAATGAGAAAGACTGAAAGTGATAACAATTTTTTTTTTAAAAAGAGAAATATCAGGGACAGAAGTGGCCAGGAGTGTGAAGGGAGCATTGCAGAAGAGAGGTGTGGAGTAGCATGTGGAAGATCTTAATTGTGGGAGAAAGATGTTAAATCTCAGAGCAATGAATGTGGCTGGACAATTAAATTTTATGTTTTCTTAAAAGCTTTTTAAAGTTGATTGGGGCTGAAATATGGGCACCTCATATCCTTACGCCAAGGGACGTGGTGGCGCTGTGGGCTAAACCGCAGAAGCCTGTGCTGCAGGGTCAGAAGACCAGCAGTCGTAAGATCGAATCCACGCAATGGAGTGAGCACCTATCGCTTGTCCCAGCTCCCGCCAACCTAGCGGTTCGAAAGCATGCAAATGCAAGTAGATAAATAGGGACCACCTCGGTGGGAAGGTAACAGCATTCCGTGTCTAAGTCGCACTGGCCATGTGACCACGGAAGATTGTCTTCGGACAAAAACGCTGGCTCTATGGCTTGGAAATGGGGATCAGCACCGCCCCCTAGAGTCGAACACGACTGGACAAAAATTGTCAAGGGGAACCTTTACCTTTACCATATCCTTACAGTTGTGCATATGGGGTGGTAACTAATAAAACAAAGACTGAAGATTTGCATTGAGATCCAGTTTGACATCTCCTACTTCTTGTCCTAAAGAGTGACAGTCTGGTATTTTTAGTGGTATTTTGGCACAGCTCATTTATTATGTAGCAGGAATCCATTTCTGCAAAAATGTTGGATAGCTATGAGGCTAGTAGCTATCTGGCTTCATTCCAGATAAGGCATTGCTTAAAAACTTTCCGAAGTACAGGAACCCCTTGTATGTTATAGGATATAACATACAGGGAGATATCATAGGGTGTAAATTTATTTATTTTTTACTGATAAAATTGAACACTCTGGTAGTCCTACTTCCTCTAATAGTGGAGATACATACATACATACATACATACA